TTCCAGGAGGACATGAAGACTAAATCATGCCATAAAGGCCTGTGACAGTATCTGTGATAAATATCTTCTCCTTTATAAAGAACACAAGAGACAATACACCATCCATATATATTTCTGTAGTGCTTCTAATTACAGTGAAACCTTGTAAGTCATGACCCTGTCTGAACGTTAACTTTCAGAAACCACAACATTAATACATGACATACCATGTTTCCATGAAGTGAGAAGTTTGCCATGAACTATCATATACTTCTACACTTTTGACAGGGATATATCTTGTTTTTGAGGAAAGGTGGAGTGAGTAAGTGAGTTTTACGCTGCTTTCAGCAATATTCCTGCAATATCGAGGCTGGGGACACAAAAATGGGCTTCACATATTGTACCCATGTGGGGAATCAAACCCGGGTCTTCAACGTGACGAATTGACGCTTTAACCACAAGGCTACCCCACCGCCCATGACTAAAGGTGGAAATATCCTTATATTGGGTATAGTGTAGTTAAAGCATGGACTGCTTAGACCAATGAAAGATATAATTTTAAGTGCACCAAAGCCAACTCCGATAACTTTGTCACGTTTGTGGGTGGTGGGGTAACCTAGTTGTTAAAGTGTTTGTTCGTTGCACAATCCGGTTTCGATTCCCCACATGGGTACAATCTGTGAAGCCCATTTGTGGTGTTCCCCATTGTGATATTGCTGGAATATTGCTAAAAGCAGAGTAAAACTAAACTCACTCACTCACTCACTCATGTTTGTGGCTGCTGTGGCACAGACAGTACAGTCAGGACAAACAAGTTATCACTGTATAATTCAAAAGAGTGCGAAACTGTAAGGAAAATCAACATAAATGTCTCAGATGGATAAATATATTGATTATATGCTATTCTGGTGAACGGGTAATATAATTCTTATACACACAGCATATGACAGAGAAGTGTGACGTATAAGAACTTACAATAACACTTACAATATATACAAAAAACAATGAAACTAACAAATAAACAGTCTTCATACGAGAAACTTTGGACGGTATAGAAATGGACGTAAAATTTTTGTATTATTTTGACAATGTGCTGTAGGTAATCATAGTGTCTCAATAAATAGATAAAATATTCATGATTTTGCTCCATTTTTAGAAATATTACTCACTACTAAGGCATATGGTTTAACAAAGTAATCTGCATGAAGAAAGTACAGTACATTCACAAACGTCCATACATTTATCCATCATAATGTTACCACTATATTATATCCCAGATTCTCACGCTCTCAACACAGCATTGTACGATGTAACCATTGTAACTGTGAGTCATATACTTGGTCCCAATCATTAGTGGCATGTCTTCATCACATCCTTAGAATTTGATTTCTCTTCTTCACATCCTTAGAATTTGATTTCAAAGGAAGCAAGGCATAAGCCATTTAGCAGTTTGAATAAATTTTGTTAGTCGTTAAAATTCCACTTTGTTGTTATCATATCTGTATATCTATTAGATATTTATTGTTGTAACACAGAGATACTGTCCCATTACAATTATCTGTCCCAATTATCCATTATAATGTAAGACTGGTAATGGGCTCCAAACCATGAAGCATTGTCCCCCAGTAAAGATAACAGCAGTATAGTTAATGCTGTGTAATATCTCCCATCAAACTGATCAACAAGCATAACAAATAAACAACTACATAAGGCCTCAGATCTACATTCAGGGGAATTCCCTCACTGTAACACAATCAAGATATGTTTGACATGTACAATATCAATGGGACTTGTGACATAAATTGAGTCTGAAGCAAAACAACATACTGGCGTATAGCAAAGTGTCAACACAATTGGCTAAATCTTGCAAGTGGATTGGAAAGTAGTATCCCACATGGCGCAGTATCCCAAGCATCAAGACATACAGACAAGTAAAGATTCTCACTACTATGATATCTATCAGTTGAGAATGTTTCTATAACATATAATCTAAGTGAGTTAGTTGTGTTTAACATCCAGTACTGGGCCTAGTTCCCCAAACTATCGTAGCGCTACATGGCTGTCGTACCTGCTATACTGTATATAGATTTACGACAGTCGTAGCTCTACGACAGCGTTCTGAAACAGTATTCCAGTTCTATCATGGCATGTCGTCTCGATGTGGGAGGAAAGCTTGAAGTGATGTCAATTGAACATTTACCACTTTGGTGAAACCCATAAACACAGGAATGGTGCTGACTAACCAAGAAATACATTTACGTCAGTTGGGATTCAAACCCACAAACACAGGTTCCTGGCAAAGCAAAGGGACACAACCCTGCACAAAGAATTGCTGTGCCTCAAAACGACTGTGATCCTAAAGTGCTTTAATCCTATTTCTTTAACCAGAGCCTGAGTTAAAAGAGATAATTTTCCATGTTTAGCCAATCAGATGCCTTGGAAAATGTCAGGGAGATTTGCCCAATTGACTTCAATTGAATCCCAACTTTCTGTATTACGGAACAGAGTATCTACTATACACGGATATACAAGTGGTAAGATTTCACAGAACCTGTTTCATATTAAAATATTTCAAATGGAATACAAAACAAACATATGTGATTCTTAACAAGGTTCTTCACTTTGATTACAAGACTCACTTGATATTACATTAATGGACTCAAATTATTAAAATGGAGGATGTTTGAAGCAGGCATGACAGCAGAAATCAACAAAAACAGGCATCCCCATTGCAACAGTCATTGCATTTCCCATTTAAAAAATGGACAATTCAAAAATAGAGTCATGTAATAATCTCGCTTCTCCAGGCACAACATGGAACTGTAAGTCACGGAAAGAGTCACACACCCAATAGAAGGGGCTTCGGAGAGTCTATCATGAGTGAGTGAGTTTGGTTTTATGCCACTTTGAACAGTATTTCAGTCATATCGTAACTTTCACTTGGGGACATAGCCCATCATAACATAGATGTTCAACACTTCAGTGATACCAACAGACATGTTTATGGCAAACAAACAAAACCCTCGACTGATCCTAATGTGAATAAGAGACACAATTTTCACAACCCTCGATAAGCTGATCCTACCATGACTAAGGGACACAACTCTGAATCACGACTTGCCTTCAATTACTGAGAGGTCAATGCCAATGGGACAACTGGTCCCATGGATAATCTTTTATAATCATGACACAAAAAATATCCCTGTCAGATACATGTGTCTTCAAATATGATGACATAATCAAAGCTAAATGCTCCTCATATTAAAAACCCGTTAACATTTGTATTTGTTTAAGTAAACAGCATATCGTAATATTTCTGCATCTCTTACAGATTGTCCATACATAGGCGGATACAGGGGGTAGGGGGTGGGGTGTGTGTGTGTTTTGCACCCCAGCCACCCGTTTGTCCTGAAAGTATATTAAATGACCATTGAAACTCTTGTGAAAACAGGTGACAAAGAAGTGTGCCTCCCCCATTTCTCAAAAGTGTGCACCCCCTTTATCAAAAAGCTGTATCCGCCCCCGCCATGCTGAACACTAAGAAGGTTCGAAAGTTCACTAGTCCAAAACTAGTAATGTACAGGGTTTTACCATTAACTAGATGTAACAGACAATAGAATAGAACTAACCCTATTTCATACCCTGGATTCATGAAGTATAGCTTTCCTTCTTGGAAATCTTGGTAGTTTGGCTTTTTCCTCCAAGAGGCACCTTAATAACACAAGTATGTACATGGGTGGGAGGTAACTTAAACACTACTTGTGTACACAGCAATGTGTATGTCATGAGTAACCCGTTGTTTCAGTGAACTCTGGAGCTTTTGAATGCTCTCACAAAACTATGCTTTCTGTTCTCAAAGTACATCTTTAGTCTTCCAGGTTTATCCAACCTTGGTCTTGTTCCAACTTTATCAAAACAAACAGAAAATCTTGTGCTCAACTGTTTGTATTGTGCCATAGTCCTTTAGGTGAAATTTGCAAAATACATTCCTAACAACTTAACAGAAGGGTGGCAATAATAGCCTAATAAAATCACTGTGAGCAGTGGAGGAGAAGACCAAATAAGCAGAAAAGTGTTTCAACAAGCAGAATCTACAATAAGATTAATCATAACATTAATTTTTATATTTATTATACTAAAACAAGCTAAACGTCATGGAAACATTCTATTGAGTGTTAGCATGATGGATAGCAAAACTGGTTTCTCTTCTAGAATTGAGCAGTAAATTTGGAGATTACCAGCCCAAATCTGGGTCTCACTATCATTTTCTGTAGAATTTAGTATTATAATAGAGACTATCATTAAATAGCTATTGTCATTAGGCTGAACAGATTTTTACTTGGCTCAGGCATGACAGGAGACAAGAGCTTCAAAACAATAGACTGCATTTTCACTTGTACTGTTAGATCTTGTTTTAACTGGATTTCGTTGTAAACTTAAAGAGGATCAAACACACAACACAAATGTTGACTTTTCATAAGGTATGAGATCATTTTTCCACAACTTCATACTACTTAACCTATACCATTAAAAAAAATGTCAAGGACAACAGGTTCCTTCACATCAGTATATATGGTCCATTATGCAGTGGAAGTGCAGATAATCTGAAACTTTCTTATTACTATAGATACATTATTATTAGGGGTGTCACGATACACAAATCTCACGATACGATATGTATCACGATTTTAAGGTCACGATACGATACGTATCGCAATACATAATTTTCGCGCCTTTTCATAGCATTACCTTACCGGCAACGTACGCGCTCGCTGATTGGTCCATCAAAATAGTCTAGCCAATCACAAAAGCTGTTAGTTTCCAACCTATTTTTGAAGTAAAGCTAGCTACATCTATTTATCGGAGCGGTCTCGTATAATTTTACTATCAAGACTTTGAAGGAGACGGATATAGCATAAAAAAATTGAATCGATAAAGTTTTAAAATAGGAATCGATACACGCAAGCATGTATCGTGTATCGTATCGTCAGTAAAAATGTATTGATGCATCGATACATTCGCGTATCGCGACACCCCTAATTATTATGCCATGACCTTAGTTTCTTTTAAGTAGAATATGTCTAACGAAACTGAATGGCAGTTGTCAAAAACAAATAAAAAATTGCGTATCATAGACATGTCCTGTCAAATAGGTAGATCTTGCCATGGCAGATGTGGTAATATGCAGTTGTTGAAGTATCACAGATGAAAGCATAGATGATAGAAGTTGTGTAAAATAAACACTAATAGTAACTTTGTGGCATTCAGCATATGTGCATCTATATTGCACATTCCATTCAGTCTTCAACAGTCTCGTATCTGAAACAAATACATACAATGTTTAAAAATACATTACACATACTCAGTCAAACAAACTGTAAAGATTAAAGATTGATTGACTGATTGACTGATTCACTGACTGACTGACTGACTGACTGAAATTCTATATACTGTCATGTCCTAATGCCAAAAATGTAATTTTCTGACTAAAATTGATATTTTATACTTATCCTGACTCATGCTTAATTGCTTGTCTTCTTCCTCTTGTGAACTATAGTGGAACACTTGAATTCCCTTTTGAAGCTCCCTTCAAAAAAGTGGACGTAAAATCACTCACCCCAGTTGCCTCCCTTGCATCCATCTTTTGGCGCGAAAAGGTCACATGATCGGCCATGCTTTCTCACTCTCTCCGTTATTTCGAGCCCTGACACTTGGCTAACCTCATGAGTCAGGATAAGTATAAAATATCAATTTTAGTCAGAAAATTACATATTTTTCCTTATCCTGATTCATGCTTAATTGCTTGTAGAATCCGACGGAAACGGTGGTGGGTCAAGCCACTCAGGATTCTCTGCTGATTTACGTCCTTATACCACCTTGGGAACTTCTAGTGGCATTTGTCCTTTCTTCCAGCTTCCTCTGATGAGTGGGGGTTTATGACTGCTTTCAACTCTAGCATGTTGATGTGTAGCTTCTGCTCCTGATTCAACCATTTTCCCGATGCCACTTTGTTGTTTAAGTGAGCTCCCCATCTTTGGTGGGACGCATCTGCGTAGAGATGTGTGTTGGATCCCGGCTCTGCTAAGTAGGTTCCTGCGCAGACATTCGACTTCTGTGTCCACCATAATAAGTATGGTTTCAGCTCGTTCGGTAGGACGACTGGATCCAGACTGTCTAGATGATCGTTGACTCTGCCAGTCTCGTAGTGGTAACGGAGAGAGTAGTGTTTGCGATATCATCTGTTGTATCTTGATCCAACGGTCCTCCGGGACTAATAGACGATTCGTTGAAGTGACGATTCGTATTCCTAGGAATTGTAGATCCTGTGTAGGCTCTAATTCCGATTTGAGATGATTTACTAACCACCCTAGTTGAGTGAGTAGCTTGATCGTAAACGTCAGTTGTCGTCTGAGTAGATTGGGATCTTGATAAGCTTGAATCCCGTCGTCGAGGTTAAACGCACTGCGTAGACCTTGATGATGTAGGTAACTGACTATGGGCTTTGTCACTCGAGTAAACAACGAGGGGGCCGACGATATTCCAAACGGTAGTACCTTCCACTGGTAGTGGCGTCCGTTGAATAGGAATCGTAGGTACTTCCTTGAGTCCTGATGTATTGGGATGTGAAGATACGCATCCTGCAGATCTATGCTGGCTAGATAATCAGACGGACGGATAATCTGTCTGAGTTGTGGAAGATGTACCATTTTGAATCTTGCGGGCCTTCTTAGATAATCCTGGTTGAACTTTTTCATGTTGTAAATCAGTCGGAACTTTTCTTTTGAGTTTTTCTTTGGGACCAGAAAAATCGGGGAGTAGAAACCTGGTGTGACGATTTGTATTTCTTCAATTGCCTTCTTGTCGAGTAGAGTTGTAATGGCATCGAGTAGTTTCTCCTTCTGATCGGTAGCATAGTTGTACATCTGAGGAGTGCTTGTTAAAGATGGAACCGCTTGCAGTTCTATCTTGTAACCTCTGTGCAGTATCTGGGATACATAATCGTCTTGTAGAATTCCCCAATTCTTCCAGTACAGTTGAAGGCGTCCACCCACTGGTGAGGGTTGTATGGGAACGGCTGGGGGTGGAAGACTCCAGTCGTTCCGACCCTGTCCATCAACATCTAAAGTTCCTAGCACCTCTGAATCCTCTGCCTCTTCCAGGGTTACCTCTAGGAGCTCCGGTGGGGAGACGAAAAGAATCCTTGTATCCTTTGGAAGTGCCGTATTTCTTGTCTCTAGCTCTCTGTATCCCTGCAAATTTAGATTTGCCAGAGTAGCGCTGTGACGTCTGTCTGATAACGGTGGCCAGTGTATCGATGGACTTGATCATCATCACTTTCCTGGACTCCTTCATAACTTCTTTAGCCACGTACTCAATTTCTCCTGCGAAGATATTCGTTTCTGCCCATGGAGCTCTGAATAGTGGTTTGGTAAACTTCTCACTCCATTTACAAGTTGATAGTAGACCTTGTCTGCGTAGCAGTGTTAATCCCGCTGATGTAGACGCTAGATGTTCTGACATGAACTGTTGGTCTTTCTTTTGGGTTAATAAAGCTGAGTAGATAATATGATCTTCTTCAGATGTAGAGTTTGCAAACTTCGCAATTAGGGTTTCGTTGATGGCCCTTGACCTGGCTAGTCCGAAGAAGGTACGTCTAGTGGTAGTGTCTAGTTGCTCTAGCTTCTTGTTCTCCACTTTATAAGTCCTGACGCGAGTGTCATTGATGAGTTTATAGTTTTCATCTACTTCTCGGGCCTTCATGAAGGGTACCATATTGTGTAGTGAAAATCTCTTAGCATTAAACGGTGGAATGCTTTGACTCTGATACTTCGTTGCCTCCCTGAAGGCTGAGTTGAGGTTATCTGGGACGTCTAGTACCCGCTTAGGGTGGTAGCGTTAGCGTGTCACAATCGTCGTTAGACATCATGTACGTGTAGGCTTCATTATTCTCCTTGGAGGGTGTTGCAAGCTCCAGACCATTAGCCATCCATGATTTGATCTCTGTATCTGAGAAGATAACTCTTCCATCATCCTCCGGTTTCGATATGTCAAGTTCCGAAGGTCGTTGCTGTTGGTCCTGATCTCTAGGTGGAGATCTATGAGTAGACCTGCGTGTAGGCATTCATGAATGCCTAATTGGAGATGTACTAGGTGATCTATATCTGCGTGGTGACGACCATGAAGATCTTGCCGAGGACCTGCACGATGGTGACCTGTCTCTGTAAGTTGAATGCCTTCGTGAAGGCATATAATCTCTTCTGCGTGGTGAACGAGTAGACCTCTGGTGTTTGAGTCCGAGGATGAAGATGATCTGCGATGACTTCGCGAATGCTCCTCGTCTGTAGCAGATGTTCTATCTTGGTTGTTGGTTCCAAGAGTGCCTTCACCAGTGGTCCTCCTGCGAATGCTTTCGCGAGATTCGTCACGATCATTGTTGTCCTCCTGGGCGTTCCCTTCACAAACGTTATCTTCACGCAGGTTGCGTACTTTATCCCGTTGAGGTGTAGACGATGTTTGTCCTCCTTGCAGATTCGTCTGCTTTTCTGTAGACTTCTCCTGAGCGAACCTACATTCCATCAGGTCCATCATCTGCTGGGTAAACTGCTGCATATAGATGCCTGGTTGAAGTTCTGCGCTGATAACTGCTGTTGCTGTACAGATAATGCCGCATCTGATAAGGTTGAGGTGTCATCTAAGGACTGCCTGTCCTCTCTGGTAGTTGCAGTCTGCGCAGATAGGCCGTCTGACTACGTAGATATAGTTGCAGACGTCAGTGTAGAAGAAGACCTAGTCTTCTTCCACGTCGGTACTTCAGGGATGAGGATCGACGGATCATCGTACACGTCTGCTTCGTCCGATGGGTTGATATCTGCGGCGTGATATCTTCTTCGCTGCCCCCATAGACGACTTGATTGTAGACTTGTCTGAAGACGTCTTAGTCCTCGGAGCAGACGGTGTCCTGGTTTTCTTAGACTGCGACGAGGATTGTTGAGTCGAAGATGATCTTTTCCTAAGGCCGGAACTCTCAATTCTCTGCTCAGCAGACGTCCCCCGGCAGCACACTGGAATGATGAACCTCAACAGACAACAACCCACGGTTATAAGCGCATTCACCCTGTTGAGACATGACTAATAACTGCCGTCTCAATTTGTCCTTGGCACGTCTATGAACAGAATATAAATAATTAGAAAATTCAATTTGAGATAAATGCTGACAAATATTACAGAGGAGTCTGGAAGAACATATAGAAGTGCAGTTAGGACATAGTAAATGCAGATCAGACGCCGACAATTGAAACCTGCAAGAAATGCAAGTCTTCATGAAATGTAAACAAGTTGAGACATGTTGTCAACAACATGAAAAACGGACAAATTTAGAATTAATTTCAAACCATCCTTGATAAAGCCCTTATACAGCTAATTTAGTATAAAAGCCTAAAGGATATATAGGTATAGGGGACCCAGACGCTCTCACAACCATCCACTAGTGCGAAGAAGGAGAGAGTGAGAAAGCATGGCCGATCATGTGACCTTTTCGCGTCAAAAGATGGATGCAAGGGAGGCAACTGGGGTGAGTGATTTTACGTCCACTTTTTTTGAAGGGAGCTTCAAAAGGGGATTCAAGTGTTCCACTATAGTTCGCAAGAGGAAGAAGACAAGCAATTAAACACGAGTCAGGATAAGGAAAAATAACTACTTTCAGTTGAATTCTGCAATGGTTCCCACCAAAACACAACGTTCATGAAAAGTTCTCAAGTGTCTTGTACGACAAAAACCATGCTTACTTGCAAAGTCTTTTTCTTAGCTCCTTCAGCTGTTCGTTCTTCTTCATGAGCATCTGCTTGAGGTTCTTGAATGGATTGGTCTGACTCACTTTCTTCTCCAATTCCTAAAACGAGTGGACACACTTTACACTGCTGTTTCCTCCAGGCCATCAATCCAAGGGAGATAACTCAACATTACAAAGCACCAGTCAAAGCATCTATCATGAATATTTTTCATCCAGAACTGAGGAGCAATCAGACGTAATATTGATTTGACGATGTATGGCATAAAACATCACCAGATGTTGTGATACTTGTTATTTGTTTGCATTTTTCATCCATTGAAAGCATTTAACTACATTATCACTAAAAATGTCTTTGAATAAGTCATTTTGTTCAAATTGAATGCACCAGGATCTGACACAACACAGATAACAATTAAATTACGCCAATATCACCAATCTAGATTAAACCAAGCTTTTAAGTATGTACTTAAATTAGCAGTATGGATCTTAGTGTTCAAGCAGAAAATAATAGCAAACCCCCAAAAATGAATGAATCTAAAAAACATATTTAGACACTGCAAACACTGAAAGGCAAAAAGTCAGTGTCATTACCTTCTCAGCCATTTCCAACATCTCTCGTATTCTGAGAAGTTCATGTTTTGTACCAGCAAGGTCAGACTCCATATTGGCCTCGTTCAACTGTCCCTTCTTGCGAGTCTACATACAAAATTACATTACACTATCGGTTAACAAAGTACAATAAGCCAATCTATCAGAATGTATATTTTTTTGTTTCTTCACAGACAATGCTACTTTAAATAAAAGAACATGAGTCAAATTGTGATAACGAAAATTTTCCTTTCACTAACAGAATGGGAGCTGAAAGTTGGTTGAAAGACATTCTTAGGGCTGTGGTGATGACCAACAGTAATAATCAAGATGAATCTAAGATCAGCAAATCCTGCAGTTCTAAGGGGCATAAACCTTCACAGTAAACATGACACCACAGAGCCATTTGTACCAGTAATAGTTATATTATATGGAACTACCATTACAAGACCTTACTAGAGCTTACTAGACCAAAGTTTTACAAGACTCAGGCTTTGGACTAATGGTCAAAGTCATGGACTGTGCAATGTATGTAAACTGAAATCAATCTGGTTTCTTTAACGCCAGGAGCTTATCTTACAGAATCTAATGCTGTCTCCATGTCAGACAACTTCCTCCTCATCTCCTCCGAGTCGTCACCTCCCTGTAAACATGGCATTGTTGATAAGGCTAAAACTTACACATGATATTTAAGTCATAATTTATATAAATTAATTCATAATCAATATGATCAAAATAATTATCTTTATATCTGTGTTCTTATGCATATGTTGCAACCAATACCAATAATTGTATCTGGCGACAGATTTCCACTTTTGCTTCATAACATAAGACAATCTTAAGATATATTAACCAGTTTTTCAACAGGTGTAGTTATAATTAGTGAGAGAGTTTGGCTTTATACCATTTTTAACAGTTTTCCACTTAAATCTCAGCATGTAAGCTTCATTAATAGAAAATTTTCAATAAATTGGGATATCCATGCACACTGTTATTCATTTGATGAAACAAACTTGGATATGGAGTTGATAAACCTAGAAACATTATCTAGAGTCAAACTCACAATCATCGTTAACAGTTGTAAAGACTTGCCACTGCATCAATTAAATGCCTTCATCCAGTATATCATCACATTTGTAACCAATCAAATGTAAACATTTCTTATACATAAATGATTATATTCTTCTTCTATGAGTACAAATTACCAGTTTAAAACATGGGGTTTTAAAACATGGGGTTTTCATGGTTACAGATGTCACTGAACTTGATGCTGCTCCACTTCTTGAAATGGCAATGTTAGAATAATAACAATAAGACAAAGTCATCAATATTCCCCTCAACGGCAAAATACTCTTTATGAATATGTCTACTAGTTATGATTACCGTATATGACCGTGCATAAGACGACCCCATGGATAAGACGACCCCAAAACTTGACCCTTAAAATCAGTGTCAAAATGGTATGTTTCGTGCATAAGTCGATCCTCTGCGATGGGGTCCTAATCGCGGCAAACACAGACCACAGACAACTGGCAGTTACCAATAATTATAACTTTGGTCCACATTATTCAAAGAATTCACAGTCATATATATTGAGTCTACTCACGGATCGAAACGAGGTGTAGTTGACAGAAAATGCATAATATATTTTGCTTCTCTAAATATCATATTTATTGTAGCAACAAACTGGCTTGCTTATTTTACCCCATTCAACAATCACGAACTGATTACCGCCTCGTTTTCCATTGACTGCTAGTTTACAGTAACATCGGTAAAAATGTGTGAATTTAAATGGCTTCCGTATTTTACCCCATTCCATGTGCGTACAACTTCTGCTTACCACGTTCATGAGGGTCCGTATAACCTTAGTGTTAATTATATATATTTTACATATATGGTATGTCAAATGTTTTGGAGTGTATACAGCAAAGTGGAAGGATAGTATTGAAAGGTTTTTAAGATCTGCTCCAGAAATGAGCACTACAAACAAATTAAGTTGAAGCCTAACTTGTTGCCATGGAAATGCAACAAGATGACATCCTCATAGTCACAGCCTAAGTCACGTTTCCATGGAAACCGCAAAAAATAAAATTTGCATCTGGATCTAACCCCCAAAAGGCACATCTAGGGATCATGGTTGACATCTGTACCAAGTTTGGTTAAGCTATCACGAATAGTTTAGGAGATATGCTTCGGACAAAGTGAGACGGACGGACGGAACTCATTTCTATATCCCCCGCAACTTTGTTGTTGCGGGGGATAAAAAAGGAGAGGAGAAATTGGGTTTATCCTTAACTCTCTAGGAAGATTCTCTATAAACCATGTATAGTGAGTGAGTTTGTTTTTATGCCGCTTTTAGCAATATTCCAGCAATATCACAGAGGGGGACACTAGAAATGGGCTTCACATATTGTACCCATGTGGGGAACTGAACCTGGGTCTTCAGTGTGAGAGCAGACGCTTTAACCATTAGGCTACCCCACCGCTCCTCATGCACAGAATTGGTTGAGGTGGTAATAAAATGACATTTGTTTGAAAATCCTAATTTCTGTATGGCTACTACTGCAATCTTACCTGTCTTCCCTTCAAGCTGCCCATCTTGGCATTGAGTTTATCCAATTCCCCTGACATCTGGAGTTGTCTCTTCTGTTCATCACTCATCTGAAGACAAAAGTGACTTTGTGTCACAATGAACATGGCAGTAAAACAATGAATATGGTAACTTAGCATCTAGGACTGAGAGAGGGGAAAGAGGAGAGGGTCGTTATCCGCTTTCTAATTACTGATAGAAAAACATCTGTACAATAAAATGCATCATGAGTGAGTGAGTTGGGTTTAATGCTACATTCATCATATTTTTCAAACCCCAAAGTGATGTAGGTCTTAGATTGAATGAGTTTTAAGCTATTTTAAGCAGAATTCAAGCAACTTTGGGCTTGGGGGCACAAGAAATGGGCTTCACACATTGACCCATGTGGGAGACCTGAACCAGGGTTGCAACAAGTGGGCGTATTGACCACATGGCTACCCCACTGCTTCGCAGGTCTTATGTTTACTACTTTGGTGAAGCCATGAGCCATGATGTTTCTGGTGATCAAACAAATTAATCCATGCATCATGAAAAACACAATACAGGATTTACACTCTCGTCATAATACTTCACATGTTTAGACATACCTTCATACTTGCTTTGGAATTTTAAGTTGATAATATTCCCCATCAAATCAAGGATAAATCAGTTCCAAGTGAAAGGGATACCTTATGCCTAACTAACAGCAGTCTTCTCACTCGACAATGTGTGCATAAGGGCCCAATTTCACAAGAGGATTTTGCACTATGACTGTTAGTAGCTGTAGCTGACCATTTCCTTGTTAAATATGTAACTAAGATTGGCTGTAGATGGGTATCCCAGAGCATCCCTGATCTGTCAGTTTAAGTGTGCTTGTTTCACTTCCCTCATTCAAAGATCAGGGGACATAACTCACCTGAGCTTCATACAGCTTCAGTTTGCGTTCTAGTGTTTTATTCTCTTCTTCCAATTCTTCTATTTTCTGAAAAATATATCATTTATGTATGTATGTCAAAATTTATTTGTTGTGATTGTTAATGTAAGGAAATTATGCAATTGTGGGTAAAATGTTGAGTGCTGGCCAGTTTCTAGTGGCAAACATTAAAAGCGATTAATTTAGAGTTACCACCTTTGTCTAAACATGAACAGGACTGGCTGGACAATTCAAGAAGTTTCAGTATGACACAGTTTCAAGCAGACTAGCTGTAGCTAGGTTTGAGCGACACAAGGGCAATTCAAGGCCTTTGTGTCCCAACTTGTGTCATATTTACTCATCAAATGCAGACTTGATACCTAACTAAAAAAACGGACAGCTTGCAACAACATAATGACATTCCTGAGAAATTCCTGGGAAATCTTCATCCTGCATGAAAGCACACACTTGGGCCTATTACTATTGGAGCTGCCATTTATACTGCCTGTTTACAGTTGCTGAGTCTATCTTACTCTTGTGTGGCATTTTATTGATTTCACTCTCTAGTTGTATATGAACAGATTTCTGTTATGTTTCAAAACAAGATAAAATGGAATGCAAATGATTCACACCAGTCAGGATCATAGGCAACACTATAATATATTTAATTTGATAGCAATGTTGTCATGATAATTTATGTTTTCAATAGTGCTGGTATTGGCATACAACCTGCGATACGATACATCACGATACTAAAAATTTAGTCATGACGATATTGCCAAAGTATTGTGCACGTAAGACACGATATGATACGAATCCTGATACAAGGGTAGCGATATGATACATATCACAATACTAATATGTTTACTTCTATCACTAATTATAAAACACCTTAAGATCAAAACAAAACCAATTTTAAAGTATTTCGTCAAATTCCGCCAGCACTGTTCAATGTTAATTCGGAAATGAGATAATTAAATTTATACACAGACATGGTGAATGTTGATAACATGCGAGCACTATGTCTGACACAGTTCTTGACGTAAGAATTTCCAACAAAAAAGTTTACTTATGAAGGGAAAATACGTAAGCATATATTTTAATCATCAAACAAAAGTAAGTCTGTTTTCTTGACAGATTTCGCAATTTGGCAAGATTCAAAGATAAACATTGATGTATTGTGGCCCATGTGAAGTATCGTATTGGGATATACAACAATGTAAAACTTTGTATCGATTCACTGTATCGGCGGCCCATGGATCGATGCATCGTTGCGTATTGATGAATCGTCATGCCACCGGTTTTCAGCAAGGTAAAACATGTCAAATAATGTATTTTGTTAATGTTTCACTGAATATATTCAAAAATACATTAACTGTTGACTTTTAAGTGTATTCGTTACCCAATATTTATAATGGTTAGCAGTATTAGTGATATGTATCATATTCGCCTCATAGTGGATTCGTTGGAGCCCTAGTGTTGACAAACCTTGAATAAAAAGGGCAAACCAAGATTTCAATCCACAAATCATCTGGAATCATGTCATTCATTTGTATAGCACTTATTTCCATTCACTGCTCAGAAGCACTGAATTATTACCGGATAACTCAAGTTGCCTGTGAGGTGCTGGAAGGTTAATAATCACATGACTTGTCCCACCGGGTACCCATTTTCTGCTGGGTGAAAAGAGGCAATTTTGAACAAACTCACTTGCCTTAGGTGAGACCACATGTATCACATGTGCTTCGTTGTGGGGCAGGACTGAAGTCCTTGAATCTCTCAGGAGTCAAGCTGCCAAACATGGTCACCCATCCAAGAACTCTCAGCGCTCAGCGATGCTTAACTTCAACTGATTCGTGACCTGAGCTCTATGCACAGGACCGATGGGAAGCAACTAGGGCTTCAACGAGTCCATTTTTGTGGACTCGAGTACTCGAGGGATGAGACTCGACTCGGACCCGAGTACTCGAAATTCATACCTTTCAAGCAAACGATAGCGTAAATTGCATGACGTGTTCCGATCACACAAGTGAACACTTACTTCTTTCCGACTTCATATCGTCATGTGACTAACATTTCCTATTGGTCAGAATCAATATTTGGATGTTTACTTGACAAATGTTTTGTTCTTCGTACTTCTTGTACTGCCTGCAAAACGCAGTGATATACTGCACATGCGGCATTTTGGTTATTTTGCTCTTTTCTCTATCCAGATCAAGATATGCCCATACATATGATTTTTTATCTTCTCGATTATTTACAGACCGCCATATAGCTGGAATATTGCTGAGTCGCGGTAAAAACTCAACTCACTCACTCACTCTCCATGTCTATCAATTGTCAAGATAGTTACCTAATCATTTTAAGAAGTGAAATCTCAAACGATGTATAATAATTACTCTCATCTGCAGACTTGTAACAACTAATACCATACAGCCACACCCTTTGACGAGTAAGCTATTTAATCTAGGTGTTAATAAAAACATTATCAGATGGATTAAAAAATTCAGGGTACATAGCACTCAGTATGTCAGTGGCTATCAATCTTCTTTGCTCTCAACCTCTACTGGAGATCCACATGGCTGTGTTCCTTCATCCGTACTCTTCATTTTGTATACCAATGACTTTTACTTGTCAATTTATGACTTGTTCACTGTGAAATTTGCAGATGACGCCACTGTTGCTGGCCTAATTTCTGATTCTGAACATTATTATCGTCAAGACATTGACAAAACCGTAATGACAGTTTTTTATCAAACCTTTATTCAAAGTGTGTTGACCTACAATTTTCTATGTTGGTATGGGGATGTGTCTCATCGCAACAAAACCAAACTTTTCAAAATTGTTAATACTGCTTGCAAAATTTCTGGAGTGTCTTTTCGAGTATATTCCCTTTATCTATGAGCCAGATTGTCAAAAGGCAGCTAAAATTAGATTTGATAGTTGATATATTTGATCTCACCATTTTGAACTACTTCCTTCTGGGCTGCTGTCGATTACCTTCCCTCAAAACAAACAGAGCTAGACAGTCTTTCATACCATCAAGTATTAAGTGAATACAACAAATATTTTGAATCACACCATCATGTGATTAGAACTAGAATTATTCAGCCTCTTTACCTATGTGGTTAATTGAATTATATCATGTCAGATTTATTTGTAAATAGCATTCGTTTTCAGCATGTTATTGTGTATATTTTTGTGAACTGTGTATATATTCATTTTGAGACAGTTTGGATGTATAAGAATTTCCTCCGGGATAATAAAGTTATATCTTATCTTAATATTAGACGTTAACGGACGCTTCGTGCTTAGCACATTGCAGACAGTCTGTCAACGTCAAATAATTCGAGTTATCTCCCCTTTTCGAGTCCTCGAGTCCTTGAAAATGGACTCGAGTCCAGCTGAACCCGACTCGTCCTCGAGTACTCGAGTACCCGTGGAAGCCCTAGAAGCAACAATTACTTTGAATTACTGACAGGACCAACTGTGCCTCCACAGTAGTTGTAATTTAACTCTTGAACATACCATGTGTAACAAAGCAGTTCCACCCGTCTCGTTCAAAGGAGCAAGCTTTGATGGTATAAACTCTGTGTCTCTCTTTGTACCCGCAATTCACGCTCCTCAAATTCTTTGATTTGCTCCAAAAGATCTCTGTAAGGGTATATTTCAATAATTTCATATATAAATCAGATCAACCATCCCAGTAGTCATCACCGTCTGCATAAATAATGGCACACTTTTCAACAGTCTGAGTACAGATTATAACTCAGTGTCATAATAAGAGAAATTCAGAAAAATGCTAGAGCTATTTATCTTTAGACTAAATAGCATCAAATTACATTTGGCACCATACTGACAAATATGAATGGTATTTTCTTAAATTCATAGCACCAATAATTGTAATATAATTATATGGATCAATTTAAAAGTCATTTTATGTTACGTATCTGCTGCAAAGAACAATATAAACTGAGATTACTGTACATGCTTGTGTCATAATGATTTTATGAAACAATTTTCAGAATTCTTCTATTTTGCAAGCAGGAATGGATGCATAAGTCTGATGTGATTTGTAGTGAGTGAGTATGGTTTTACGCCGCTTTTTAGCAATATTCCAGCAATATCATGGCAGAGGACACCAGAAATGGGCTTCACACATTGTGCCCATGTGGGTATTTGAAACCGGGTCTTCGGCGTGACGAGCCAACGCTTTAACCATTAGGCTACCCCACCGCCCCTCAAACCCAGGACTTTGGGGTGACTTTTTGTAACTGGGACCAGTCCAGGACTACTGACTGATCCAATGTTTGGTTACATTACCTGTTTTCCAGCTCGGAGATATCAGCCTGCAGCTTGAGGTGCCACTTCTCTGCCTGTATGAACATCTGCCTCATCATCAGCACATTTGTGTGGGCCGTGTTGAGCAGCTCCGACTCGGCCTCGCTCCGGACCACTGTCTGCAGACCCTCCAACATCTCAGTCACCTCATCTATGGTGAATGTTCCTTCAGTCAACCTGGGAGTGAGTGTATCGGTTTAACTAAAACCTTTATTTGGAGCTTCAGCCATCGGATGAATAGAGGTTGAAACCCTGATTCATGCAGACCAAACTTGTTTACAAACCCAAGATAGACGATGGGTGGTGGCAAGATAGATGATGAGGTGGCAAGGTAACACATTCAGTAACTTGTATTTTGTGGCAAAAAGTGTAGGATCGAATATTGTGAGGTTATTTGTTTGAGTGGCATTCTAGAAGTTGGTGGTATAGAGATGACAAGACTTTATGGATGACAATGGCGATGTTTCATTTGATTGAAAACGGAATAAGAATCTATACTGAAACGTCGCCATTGTCATCATAAAGAAGTCGATCATCCATAAAGTCTTGTCATCTCTATTGTGAGGTTAGATCGGGGATTAACATTGTATTCATGACCATTACACATTATCATATATAGCATATGCATAAACAAGTGTGTGCCTATTTGTCCAAAACAGGATTAATGCTGGTTTTATACTGCTAGCCCACTGAGAATACCATGTCACAGTTTAACACAGATACCCCACTTAGGTACAGTATACTGACTCCAAGCCAAACAGTCTTTATCTTTTGTCAACTAAATGTCTTCTGGTGTGACATGGATGGGGACTGAATCACAAGTTTCAACTCTATTCAGATGTTTTAACCACCAGGACCCAAGGTTGTCAAGAGCATGAGTAGGCACAGTATTCTGAGTATCTTTACTGAGTTGGACCTCAGAACAATCCCAGTCAACTTTCATGTTAAATGTATGGATGCTCTGTGATGAGTAAGAGGTTTACAGCAAAAACAAAACTGTGACATAGTTCAAGTATTATAAGAATGTCGATATGGCAATCAGTTGTGGCATGACCTATTGAAATGGACTGAAAATAAAACTGGGGATAACACTGCCTTCAACATTTCAACACTGGACATGGAGGAGAGGTTCTTCAATTTAAACATCCCCTGTTGAGAGTCATCATTTTCAGTACTGAGTCTATCTACTGACTGACTGAGTTTGGTTTTATGCCGCTTTTTTAGCAATATTCCAGCAACATCACAGCGGGGAACATCAGAAATGGGGTTCACACATTGTACCCATGTGGGGATTTGAACCCGGGTCTTCGGCGTGACGAGCCAACACTTTAACCACTAGGCTACCCCACCGCCCCCGGAGTCTATCTAAATATATGTCACAACATGACTTCGTTGGAACAGATCTAGCATCATACATTGTATCCATGAACAGAATCAAACCCATGTCTGTGATGTGACAAGTTAATGTTACTACTAAGATTACCACTGTCCTGGAATAGAATTATGACAGCTGTTGCACTGACATCATTTCAGACATAGCCAAAATGTAGACAGCAGATGAAATAGTTGTACTACTTAGGATACACATCCTCAAATTGGAAGTTTTGCTGTATCTGTGTTTATGTAAAATACAAATAATTGAATGTCCTGACTTGTTGAAATGATGAAAAATTACCATTCTATGAACAGGATGAAACATTCAAGTTTGATCCTTACCGACTGTCTCGTAGTTCATCAAAACAGGCATCTACAGCCCGTAACCTCTGACCTCTTTGGTAACGTGCAAAACGGATGTAGTTGATCACCTGAGACTGGTGGTGCTGGTTCACTCCTAGTTCTGAAGCCTGCATGGTGATATTAATAGGGGGGTCAAGTGAAATAGTTTTGTGGTAACTTGTATAAGAAAATAAAAAAACAACAGACAAAACATGTTGTATTCTCCACACAAATCCCTGAGGTAATGTCTGTCTCTTTCTCGAAAAAACTGGTTGCCTTTCTTACCGACATGTGATCCACAGCACAGATTGTTCTCAGTTAAAGTTATGGTACTGTATTAAAAAAATGCTCTTAATTTCTTAATGCCATATGCACATGGCTTAAAAGTATCCTATTCTGACAGAAAGCATAATTGTCCATCAATTGAAATTTTAAAAAGATTGTAGTAAATTGTGATTTCTAGCCTGCACAGTTACAGTTTTAAATAGAGACTGAATATAATTTAACAAGAATAGGGCCCTATGAAGATGACGAAAATTGAGAGACATATATCATAGGCAATTGTAATTTGTGCTTATCAACATGTCATTTCAAAATCTAGATAAATCTATATTATGGTCATCAGTTGCACAACATCAGCACTGAAACACTGAAAAGATATGATAATGAGGTACTGTTGATCGATACAATGGATCAATACAGATATTTATTTCTGAAGAAATATTAACTTCAAAGCGTTTCTGATTAGCTCCAAACTCTAATATGTTCTTGAAGTATCTATTACACTATCTACTCTAGCAACATCTTAGGAATAATTTCATGTAAGACGGGTTGTACGTTGTCATTGTGGATAAAGAAATTGAACATACGAAAACAGCACTGCATAACGTGTCGGAAATCATCTGAAACCAAACATAAAAGTTTTTACCATTGTTAGTTAAGTTCAGGTGTTTGCTATTTGAAACAAAACGTTGGTACAAATATTCATGAATTATTTCCCAAGCAGGTTTGTGGACGGATGCGATGCTTCAACGAAACCGAGGCTAATGTAGGTGCGCACATATTGTAATAAATACAAAAACAAATCTTTCTAATTAATATGTATTTTTTTCGATTATCAAAAAGGGTTATAAACTTAACCTTGTATTCAGTTTATTTTTATCCAGTACAAACTAAGGGCGCACTCTAACTCCGAGGCGGTCACTCAAGATGGCGACGACAGGTGAGTGGGCAGCATGGCCTTGGTTGGCACATGGGAGGTGCCTATTCGTTTATGCCAAATGATCATTTAACGAGGATTTTGTTTATTGATTGTGTTTGATCTGGTCACCACGCGGAACGTATGGTAAAACGATCATGCAACTTGTAATCAACATACTAGACACATGAAGCCAACCATCCTACCCATACGGTGTCACATATGCACGTCCCAACCTGGCACTATCTCACAGAAGCTTTTACAGGACGTTCGATCAACTTCATAATGTCCAGTGTGTAATAGGTTTGGTCAACTAAGAGATCAGATCAATTGCTGGAGTGATAAATGCCCATGTTTGACTGCACCGTTCATGTAAAGATCTCACAAAGTCGAGACCCACTTTTGATGAATCAAATGATCACAATAATGGTATTTTAGTGTTACAATGAAACATATCTATCTAATTGCAGTAACGTTTAAGTCAACATGAAAATGTTTTGGCTAACTGATTGCGATTTTTGGATCTGCTGGGGTTATTTTCTTTCGCTCATTAATAGTCTATTGCCTGGTTCATTTGGTACATGCTGCTGATCATTTGAAACCATTTGGATAACACTTTTTTACTAAAATGAATTGATGGTCTGGGAGTTTTTATTTCTCAAGTTATTTTTCACATGTAAATATATACCATATCTGTGTCATTGTAAATAGTAATTTTGGCATGGCATTATTTGTTGAGAGGGTTAAGAAAGGTAATCCTTACTTGCAGGATTATAAGGTAAGGAGTAGAGTAATAGGTAAAACAAATACTACAGTTCTGTTGTCGTAGGTTAATACTCAGCAGTACTATTATGTTATATCATGATGTTGCAGGTTTGGACAAGAATATGTTTTGATTGCTTACGAGTCTGCTACAAAAGTAATTTTTTTAATGGTTTCTTGAGGAAATTATTATCCTATATGAGACATTTTGGTGTTTTCAGCCTCAATGAAAAATCATGTATATTATGAATCCAACAATAATATAGAGAATCCCACTATGAAATATAAGTTGTAATGAAAGTTTTACTTTTAAGTGAATATTTCTTTATCAAAAGATGTCTTGCAGGCACTTATTGATATCGACTTTGACACTTGATGCGAAAGGAAAGTATATAGTGCAGCCCTTCGTATCAAGCTATACCTTAGCCAGGCCTACCAAAGGAAACTTTCCCTCTGTGCCGAAAAACGCAGAAAAGCCCACATTAATCGTGGAAATAGCAACATAAACATAATACCTCGCTACTGAAACAGTAAAAACGGCAACTTTAAATCGCTAACACTGCATCATAAAACGAGGAGCCCTCAACTTCGATTTTGCGCATGCGCACATGGAAGAGGAAGTCTCTACCGCATGTTGACATTTTCCACTTTGGGCAAAAGTTACATTCCTTTTTAAGTATTTCTTTTCTGTTATTTGGCATTTATCATGATACTTGTGTGCACACTTTTTTAGTTTACTTTCCATTCGTTTGAAACGATTGACAGCAATTATTTCGACATATTTAATACTTCTTCCACGCGAGGCGATTCACAGTTGCTCGGAAATTGGAAAGAAGCCCAGATCGTAATGCGCATGCGCTTGCGCAGTAGAGGTCAAAGTTCACTGATATAAAAATGTTGCAGTTTCATAGTTTTTCGTTGCCGTTTTTACTGTTTCAGTAGCGAGGTAATGTGTTTATGTTGCTATTTCCGTGATTAATGTGGGCTTTTCTGTGTTTTTCTGCACAGTGGGAAAGTTTTCTTTGGTAGGCCTGTTAGCTGCAGTTTGTTATGTGTCAAGCATTTTATCAGTCATACTTGCAATCACAACATTTGTTTGGATCTTTTATGAAATAAAGAACAAATTATGTTTATGACACATAAGAATAGATGTTTTGACGCAAAGTTGTCAAGGTCACCATATGAAAATTAAAGATATTTTTTTTACCCCCAGTGAAAGGATGCAATATTTCTTTAAATACATTTTAGCATACTTTTCAAGCTTGTAATTGGGGTTTTCAGTTGTGATCTTTGACTTTTTAGTATCAACACTTCAGCTGAAACATCACAATATATCAATACAGTGTAAGGAATGTTTGTTTTTATTCCCCGCCGCGCGTTTGGCGCGAAGCGGGGGATATAGTATTAGGCTCCGTCCATTCGTACGTATGTACAATTTGGAATATCTTAAGAACCGTTGACTAGATTCTAGTCATATTTGGTACCTAGGTTCATCACAGTATAAGAAAGGTCCCAGTCAGGTTTGGTGACCTTGACCTTAATTCCAAGGTCACAAGGGGACTTTAACGCTTTACTCTTGTCAGCGAGATATCTCAAGAACCATTCACTAGATTTTCTACATATTCAACACCAAGCTTTATCTAGGGAAGGCGCAGGGCTCAGTCGATTTTGGTGACCTTCACATAATTTTCAAGGTCATGGTGACACTTTGAAGATTTCAGCATATTAACCTGCATGTTATGCTTGTCAGCGAGATACCTCGAGAACCATTCACTGGATTTTCTCCATATTTCATGCCAAGCTTCATCCAGGGAAGGCGCAGGGCCCAGTCGATTTTGGTGACCTTCACTTAATTGTCAAGGTCACAAAGACACTTTGAAGATTTCACCATGTTAAATTGCATGTTAAGATAGTCAGCAAGATATCGCAAAAAACATTCACTGGGTTTTTTTCATATTTGACACCAAGCTTCATCTAGTGAAGGCGCAGGGCCCAGTCAATATTGATGACCTTCACCTAATTTTCAAGGTCACTGCGACACTTTGAAGATTTCATCATGTTAACCTGAATTCACTGGATTGTCTTCATAGACTTTCAAGACTTTCCTTGAATGTTTTTCAATAAGCAATTTCTTCAGTACCATTTTGGCATATTTCATACACTATGACATTCATGTCAAGGTCAAAGTGAGTCTTGAAAATATGTGTGTGTTTGAACAACTAAAGAGCAAGATATCAAGAGAGGTTGACTGGTCATATTATAAACTTTCATTACTTTCTAAGTTTGATTTGATAATTTGCGGCGGGGAATTATGTCACCTTAGTGACAATGCTTGTTTGTTCTTGTCTTAGACACAACTGACCATTTACATAGATAGATAGAATATGTTGATATGTAATGTACCTTGATCAGTATTGATCATATCAAAGTGGTTCCATGTCATTTGAGTGCTGGGTGAAAGTATAATGAAAGTCGTAAACACTTAAAGTTACAGTCTTCCCTAACTCAAGTTGATAGGCTTGGGGAGTTGCCCCAAACAGGATTGATATTCATAATATGTTTTTTGTCAAAAGGCATACACAATACATTTTAGGTAATTGTGAAGATCTGGGTTCTCATTGGCCTCCAGCCATGGTATGATGGTATAATGTCCCCATTGCGTAAATCAGTGCTCATGATCTAAATCACTGGTTTGTCTGGTAAAGTTTCAGTTATTTACAGATTTTAGTCATATAGTAGGAATAATGCTAAATTTTAAACACTAAATGAACAAACAAGCTGAAGCTATGTGGTAAAATGTTCAACTTGCATCACTATGGGCACACAGCCAAAGTTAAGCTGACACAGTGATGTAAATATAGTTCTGTTCAAGGAAGTTTAAAACAAAACGCATTCATTAAATAGTAAACAATATTTCTCAGCAGTTACCATAGTTAGTAAAGATGCCACGATATGCTTTCCTTATATATTAGTGGTGGTCTGATTATTTCAAATAATCGAAGATTGGTCGCAGTGACTAAACGACCAAGCAATCGATCATGTTTTCTCATAATCGAACACAAACAATTCCGGAACACTTGTTTTCATTAACAGTATTTTTCACTAGGTTGGTTTTGTCTGTTACATTTCATAAGCACTACAAGCTCGTTCCAAGTCATGATTATACCCCTCAACGCGTTTTGCGGGGGGTATTAAAATGGAGTCCGTCCGTCTGTCAGTCCGTGCACATTTGTCTTTTCCGGAGCAGAACTCTAAAACTGTTCACTATTTCTTCACCAAACTTGGCACATAGATAGATCTGGTGGTGTACTGGTGCCTTTTGGTAGTTTTGGAATTCTGAATAAAATATTTTTGGCGTTTCCGTGGCAACAAGTTTTGACTTGGCCTGAAATTGGTGGTAGTGCTCTTTTCCGCCGCAGAACTCTAAAACCGTTAACTATTTCTTCACCAAACTTGGCACATAGATAGATCTGGTGGTGTACTGGTGCCTTTTGGTAGTTTTGGAATTCTGAATAAAATATTTTTGGCATTTCCATGGCAACAAGTTTGACATAGACTGAAATTGGTGATAGTGCTCCTTTCCGGAGCAGAACTTTCAAAACCTTTCAATACTCTCCTTCCACTTTTCTATATACACACCTAAATATTTGACATAATCATAACTCGGAGACATAATCATGAAAAGTATTTTGCCATTGCGGGTGATATTGATGACTTTGTCTTCTTGTTTGTGTTTCCATGGCAACAATTTTGACTTCAACTGAATTTGGTGGTAGTGCTCCTTTCTGGAGCAAAATTTCGAAACCTTTCAGTACTCACCTTCCACGTAGACATATTCATGAAGAATATTTTGCCATTACGGGGGATATTGATGACTTTGTCTTCTTGTTATCCCCTGCAACGCGTTTTGCGGGTGGTATTAAAATGGACTCCGTCCGTCCGTCGCGTGCGTGTGTGCGTCCGTCCGTCCGTCCGGGCGCATTTGTCTTTTCCGGAGCTGAACTCTAAGACCGTTCAATATTTCTTCACCAAACTTGGCACATAGATAGATCTTGTGGTGTACTGGTTCCTTTTTGGTAGTTTTGGAATTCTGAATGAAATATTTTTGGCATTTCCATGGCAACAAGTTTGACTTAGCCCGAAATTGGTGGTTGTGCTCTTTTCCGGAGCAGAACTCTAAAACCGTTCAATGTTTCTTCACCAAACTTGGCACATACATAGATCTGGTTGTGTACTGGTGCCTTTTGGTAGTTTTGGATTTCTGAATAAAATATTTTTGGCCTTTCCATGGCAACAAGTTTGACATAGACTGAAATTGGTGATAGTGCTCCTTTCTGGAGCAGTACTTTAAAAACCTTTCAATACTCTCCTTCCACTTTTCTATGTACACACCTAAATATTTGACATAATCATAACTCGTAGACATAATCATGAAGAGTATTTTGCCATTGCGGGTGATATTGATGACTTTGTCTTCTTGTTCCTTATTTTTTTGCGCATTAACACATTTCATAAATGACGCTAACCAATTATTTTCGATGATTGATCGGTTGTAATGAACCAATCATCAATTATGAGATTTTAACCAATTCCCAACACTATTATACATCAATATAAATCACAAAATTTAAGTCACAATATAGTGCAGATCGTGATACTTCAGTTGGAACATTCTGCTTATATGTCTAACTTCAATCAAGTAATCAAAATGTCTACATGCTCTTTAATGTTGCCTATTATATAAGAAGTTGCCAGTCAGTTAGTATTTTACCCACGTGCCTTGTTAACTTAGATGCATGGAGATGGTCTTGAGGTTAAAATGTTAGCTCATCATGCTAAGGTTCCATGATTGATGCACTGCATGAGTAAAAAGTGTCCTCTTTTGTAGTAATGTTGTGGTGCATATATGAAACGAAACACAAGATTACTGATACGCTATTAAATTCC